AGGCTATAACAGAAAGACAGACAATAACAAGCACAAGTGCAGATGTGGAAAATTGGGATCCTTATATATTGCTGGTGGGAATATAAAATGTTGCAGCCATTGTGTAAAGCAATTTGGCAGTTACTCAAAAATTAACCATAGAATTACTATATAACCCAACCACTTCACTGCTGGGTACATACCCAAGACAATCAAAAACATGCCACACAAAAAATATTACATGTGTTCATAACAGCATTATTCATATTAGCCAAGAAGTGGAAATGTCCATCAATTGATGAGTGGACCAACCAAATATGGTGTATTCGTAAAATGAGATTGGTCCTACAAAGGAACAAAGCACTGATTCATGCTATACCGTGGATGAACATTGAAAAAAATACACTAAGTGATAGATGCAAGACACAAAAGGCAAAATATTATATGATTCTATTTACATAAAATGTCCAGAATAGGAAAATCCTTATAGACAGAAAATAGATTAATGGTTGCCATGGGAGGAATGAAGGGGAAATAACTTTAATGATATAGGATTTCTTTCTGGGGTGATGAAAATGTTCTGTAATTAGATAGTGGTGATGGTTTCACAGCTTTGTGAACATACTGAAAAACACTGAATTATAGACTTTGAAAGAATGGATTTTATGGTATATGAATTATATCCCAATTTTAAAGAAAAATATGACACCTCAACCTAAAAAGATTCAAATGTTCTAGCATCAATATCAGGAAAAAAAGAGTATATTTTCCAAAGTTAGTCTTGTGAATAAGAGTATGTATTATCTAATTTGTATTGTTGCCAATCTTATTGATGATCTTACCAATCTTCTAAAAATATAACACATTCTACAAACTTAGTAAACACACTCTTTATGTGGCCTAAGAAATGACCCAGCTATTGATGTACATAATACAAATAAATCTCAAAATAATGATAGTGATGTAAGAAGCCAGACCAAAGCGAGTACACACTGTACGCTATGGACTAGAACTGTGTCGCCCACTCCCCAGTGTGATGGTATTTGGAGATGAGGCCTTTGGGAGATGATAGATTTAAGTGAGGTGACAAGGGTGGCACCCTCATGATGGGATTAATGCCCTTATAAGAAGAGACATCAGACAGCTGCCTCTGTCTCTCTCTGTCTCTCTGCCATGCAAGGACACAGTGGGAAGGCACCATCTGTGAGCAGGAAGAGATCACTCGCCAGAACCTACGATGCTGGCACCCTGATCTCGGATTTCCAGCCTCCAGAACCGTGAGAAAAGGAGTTTCTGTTGCTGAAGCCACTCAGTCTATGGTATTTTGTTATGGTTCCCCAAGCTGACTAGGACACTGTTTTATCCGACTGACATGTAGAAAATGCAAGCAGATTTATACTGACAGATGGCAGGTTGGCGACTGTCTAGGGATGAGTTAGGAGAGTAGGGTAGGAGGGAGAGATCTGTCGTAAAGAAATTTGGGGGTGATGAATATATTTGCTATCTTGATATGTGCAGCTTATCGGTACACCCATTTTATTTAAGATAATGAAGCTGCCTTAAAAAAGAATGACAATGGAAAGGAAACACGAAAGTGCTTGGCCAATAATTTACTTGGGTTTGGACACCAATAAGTGAAATTAAATGGTATTTTATATACCCTGCTTATCTCCTAAACTCACCTCACTATTTCACAAAGGAATTTTATTATACACCTGTCAGCAACAGGCAGAAAATGGACAGATGAAATCAGCCAATGAAAAGAAAACAAAGGAAGAAAAGATTAGCAAAAGTGGAGAGAAGGAAAAGACAGACACACCCTCAGCCAGGTTGTATGTATAGTTAAGAACAAAAGACCAACATTCTAGATCGGTCCTAGGACAATAGGACCCGCTGGAAATGGTGACCTCACGGGAAGACCCGCCTGGTGGGACGCCGCTGTGAGGTCCGGCTCCCCGCCTGCTGCAGGAGGCGCCCTTCCTGGCCCTGCCTCTGGGCTCACTTCACACCCAACTCGGCCTTGGGCACCGGACTCCTCTGCTGTGGGGTCCTCTGGCTCCTGGGCACAGGTGAGTTCCGAGCTAATGGATCAGCACCTCTGGGCTTTGTCTCTGGCTCAAACACACCCTGGACTTCTATGTTGACCAAAGATTTTCTGAAAGGTATTGACGTTTATGTGAAAACAAATAACTGCATTATGAAGCAAAAAGCAAAATTTATGTGAACTTTTAAATGAACACAGGAGACTTCAGATGGGCTGCTTCACTGAAAGGCGCTCCTTCTTCTGCCATCACGACTGTGTCTCGTGCAATCTCTTCTCTCTGAGATCTCACTAATGCCGGCCTCAGTCAGAACCCAATACACCCAATACACAGTCAGGAGGAGAGGACAGGAGGCCACACTGACATGCAGCCCTGTGCAAGGACACAATCATGTTTACTGGTTTGGCAGCTCCTGGAGGAAGGTCCGAGATTCATGATTTACCTCCAGAGAGAAAGAATCATAGATGGATGAGTCAGGAATGCCAACGAAACGGTCTTCTGCTAAATTTCCCAAAGAGGGACCCGACGTCCTGCAGATCCAGCAGGCAGAGCTGGGAGACTCGGCAGCTTATTTCTGTGGCAGCCCCTCAGCCACATCAAGGCAGTCACATCCGCCAGTGCACAAGCACCCTCCAGGCCCCACCAAACAGAAGTGCGCGGGGAAAGGAGACACATTCTCTGCATAACAGAAACATCAGCTCTAAGGCATTTTGCAAGTTGAAGATGGAAATAGGAAAGAATTGTAGAAATATCATGGAACATCTCAGTCCATGCCCAGTAACTAAGACTCTGTCCTTCAAAAAAAGAGTAAAGATTTTCAAAAGCTGGACTTAATTTTTCAGGTTAAGCAGTTATTGACTAAATAAGCTCTCTTTCTTTCACTCCATACTGTATATCAAGTTTTATATTTCATGCTTTCCATGTATAATTTTATTTAATCACCAAGAAAGTCAAACAAAGGAAGTATTTTCTTCATTTTCACTTGACAAAATAATTGATTTTTAAAATTTTTAAAGAAAAAAATAATTTTTCTTTCAAAAAAAAGAGAAAAGGAAAGAAAGAAAGAAAGAAAGAAAGAAAAAGAAAGAAAGAAAGAAAGAAAGAAAGAAAGAAGCAAGTGACAGAGACAGAATTCAAACCCACATTTGTCTGGCCCAAAGGGTAATGATGTTTTTTGTATCACATTGTGCTGCCTGTTATTTGTGGCATAATTTTTGTTTTGTTCTTTGCCTAGTAGTCCCTGTGCAGGTTTATACAGATGCCAGGTTCAAGAACTCCTGCTGTAAAGTTATAGAATATCGGAGAGATGGTAGAAATAGAGTTGGATAAATTTGGAATTGAAGGGAAAGGTCTGGCCCACAGATATTGTTCATTATAAATGTGTCACTTCAACTTTTTGTCCCAGTGAATTTTTCCTTTTATTCCCACCACTCAATAGATATTGAGTACTACAGAAAAGGGTTTATTATCATTTGCTTTGACAAAACAATTTCAAAAAATCAAAAGGTAGACAAATGCAACGTAATTTCAAATACACTTGGAACAAGCCACGTCCGGCCTCAAAAGCATGAAGTATAAACCGGGGTTACTCCACTGTATTTTTTGCCTTTTGATTTTCTAAAGATATTTCACATGCTCCTGCCCCTTCCTCAACACACCCAAATGGAGAAAAACAGAAAATCTGCAGGGAAGACCAAAGAGGGATGCTGGCTGGCTGGCTGGAGGGCCTGAGGGAAAGCTGGAAGGACCACCAGGAAAAGACTGTCCCTAGAGCTGGACCCCAGCAGGACCGCAGAGAAGGGGGGATCCCAACCCCACACCATTTAACACCCAATCCACCCCAGGTATTATTTAAGGGGACAGTCTTCCGAAGGTATTGCTTGTGAGTGAGAGAAAAGGCAGAAAGGAAGGAAGAGGGTCCTCTGGCAATTGGATAGTGAGGAGAAAAAGAGGAAAAGGGAAAAATGTAAAATCCTGCAAAACAAAAGGGAATCACAAATTACTTGAACTCACAACCACCCACCCACCATAAAAACAAACAAAACTTACTAAGGTGTCTGGAATTCACTAGAATGATGGAAAAGGAGCCGTTGGATTAGGAATGTTGCAGAGCACCCCAATAACATAAAAATGAACAAGGGAAAAGTAAAACCCATAAAATAAGGGAAAACCCTTTCCCTCTCCTCCCTCGCTCCAAAAATAATCATGAAAGTTTAAGAAGAAAATGTAAGTCTACACTCCAAACACGATTAAACACACTTTACATGCCACCTATAAACAGGAGTTCCAAAAACAAGAACAGAAATGGCAAACACAGAAAGAAATGGGGAAAAAAGTTGACCAAACTCAGAAAAGAAATGAAAGAAAAAGACAAAATTATCCCAGAAATGAAGACTAAATTAAAAGATGCCCAAAGAAGAATAAACCCAAATGAAAATTTAGTCAGGGCACTAAACAAAAGCAGAGAAACAAGCAGGAGAATGAAAAGGACACAAAAGAAGTAAAAGCAGCCAGAGAGGAGGTGGCCAAAGGGTGTGAGGCCCCGGCATGGGGGTGTGAGGGACCTGGGTCGGCAGCAGCTTTGCTCTGTGCCGCAGGACGGCTGCAACAACACCTCTCAACAGACCGCTTGAGTCGCTCTGTCCCCGCGAGGATTGAGGCCATGACAAATGAATTCCACATTCCTGTGCGACCAGCGTGTCTGCAGCGCTCTGTAATCCAAGCATTACAGTAACTGGACGGGTGAAAACCAAGCAGCCAATTGGAGTGAGACTCTGGCCCAGACCCGTGGGGTGCCAGTCCCCTCAGCCCAGAAGCTACCAGAGTTATGGGAGGTGTCAGTTCCTCAGCTCTCCAGCCTGTTTCCTCAGCTGCAAAATTGGGGAGCTCGTCTACACTACCTCGAGGATCCTCCCAATCCTTCCTTCCAGCTTTCTGTCAAACTGCACATTTTAGGCCAGAGGGAGCCACAGAGCGAAGCTTCTGTCCTCATTGTCAGCCAACAAGTGCCTGCAGCCACAAGAGAACCCCTTCCTACTATGAGCATTCAGATGCTCTGCTGTGTGGCCCTTTGTCTCCTAGGAGCAGGTGGGTCCGAGGCTCAGGGAGCAAACTCCTGTCCGAATGTGCCAAGCTCCAGATCTAAGCCTCTGCCCAGTGAAAGCAGCATCAGGCGTCTCCCTGGGCTGTTTCCAGCATTTTTCTCTTTCCTCCTCAGGAGCCACGGATGGTGGAATCACTCAGACCCCGAAATACCTGTTCACAAAGGAAGGACAGAATGTGACCCTGGAATGTGAGCAGAATTTGGATCGCAATGCCATGTACTGGTACCGACAAGACCCGGGCCAAGGGTTGAGACTGATCTACCACCCGCAACTTGTAAGGCAGGTCCTGAAAGGAGACATCGCCCTCGGCTACAGTACCTCTGGGGAGAGGAAGGCACAGTTTCCTCTCACGGTGACGTCGCCCCAGAGGAACCGGACGGCTGTCTATGTCTGCGCCAGTGCGAGCACAGTGAAGCACAGCGGCCCCCTCTCTGCGCGGAAATGTGCCCGAGCCCTGCTGCCTCTACCAGGGGCGGGCTCTTCCCACATCCCTGCCCGCCCTTTCTCCCGCCCCGGCCAGGCATCCAAAGCTGCTATCATCAGTAGGCTCTGTGAGGTGGCATGAAACTTTACTCAGCCACTAAGTTGGTTTAAAAAATTATATATATATGTTATATAAATATTAATAAGTTATAGAGAGAGAGAGAGAAAGGGAGAGAGAGAGAGAAGAGAGATGAAAGAGGTTAATTTTATAACCCCAAACTTTTTTCTGTTTTACTGAACATTAGAAAAGAAAAATGAACAGAACATTGTCCCTACCTTCAGAAGAAATACTAACATTCTAGTGGTGAGAGAAAGCTGTAGAAGACAAATACTGTAATCACAACATCATATGACATGTGCTTTTAAGCTGAGGTGTTAGTGGAGCAAAGGAAGTAATGTGGCCAATTCAGCCTGGTGACATCAGGAAGGGCGTCAAAGAGAAGGCAAATTTGGGGATGAAACTTATTATCCAAGTTTCACCAGATGGGCAAGGAGGATTTCACCAGATGGGCGAGCACCAAAAGAGTGAGACAGGCTTCAGGAACTATGAAAGGAAAGAGTGATGAGGTAATATCAGGAAAAGCACACTCAAACTCCCGCCCCCGCTGGAGTATGGCAATGGGAGAAAATTGGGAAGAATTAATGGAGTAAAGTTATTGAACAAAATTCAGTTCCCAGTTCTAGTGGGCCTTCCTTGGATATCTGCATAGCAATATCCAGGAGCTGTGTAAATTCATGCCTGGTGCTTAGAAGAGAGAGTCGGGCTTAAGAGAAGCATTTGAGTGACAGATCAGCAGACGGGTGTTAAGTAAAACTTTCCAAATGATCTTTATGTCTTCTGCATATTTTCTCTCTTTATGCTCTGCACATATCCATTGAATTAGAAGATAAGTGGCGTGAATTATTTACAAATATTTATTTGATCGCACAATTCTGTTTCTAGAAATAAATGGCAGTCTATATTATTCCCTGCATTCTCTCCCTGTCCAGAAAATGCCAGCCCTGGCTCCATGTGTTCTCTGTGAGTTCCTTCCTGCATTCCGTGTTTAGCTTTGGTTTCTTCTGCGTATTTTTTGGAAGCTTGATTCACAGAGTCACACAGAGACCAAAATACTGAGACATGGAGATGGGAAACAGACATTCCTCTGAACTCCAAGATGTCACTGAAACTAATGTGCTCTGACAATAGTAAGGAAACCATTGGAAATGGGATGGTTGCAGGACCCTTCAGTCTGAATGCCCAGACCATATTTGCAGACACCTCCATACCAATCATTCCCTGAGCCAGGTGACATAGCCAGGATCCACGGTGGCAGTGGGAGAGACACAGCCCTGTAGAGTTATCTGCTGCCTTTGCACAGCCATTCCCCAGAGGAGACGGAGTAGGGTAAGACTATCTGTCGCCTGAAAGGAAGAAAATGAGAGGTAGAACAGTAAGAGATAGACAATCTATGTTTCATTTTTATCTTGGGCATGACTAGAAGGGACACAAAGTCCCTCCTTTCTGTTGAGGAAGTTATAAAGCAAAGCATATGGACTTAAATGGACTTCAGAAATTCCACTGTAAAACTATTGAACCATTTGCTTTGTAGGGTAATCCTAATATTAAAAAGAACTCTGTAGCTGGGAAGTTTCATTGTAACCTCCACTCCCCACAATCAAGTTGTAAGAGATATTATCTGAAGTGAAAGACAGGAAACTTAAAAAACGGAAAGTATCACTAAATGTTTTCTTAACGTGTTTTGAGAAGCCATTGCATCTATTGACTAGGAAGGACAGTTTATATAAAATTATTATCCTTACCTTACCTACTGTTCTTATTATCCTTACCTACTCTTCTCAGAAGAAGTACAGTTACAGAGTGAGGCGGCCCCATTCTAATGAGGCCCAACACCATCAGTAAAGAAATATAACAGGAGCATGCAGATGCCCTTCAACAGATACATTGATATCAGTGTATGCCATAGTCGTATTTGTTATGATAAAAACTACTTCACTATAGCACAAACATAATTCAATGGGCCAAGTCTTAACCCCCCCTTTCTTAGCTACCCAGGCCAGAGAAATAAGAAATAGAACTAATATTAAGTGAAAGCACAACCAGGAGGCTGTTATAAAAATAGAAGTACAGTGCTTTGGAAAAACACTTCCCCACTCTTTGTAATTGCTATACATTTTCAAGATTGATCCATTAAAACAAGTATCCCAGCATGTTTAAAGCAGGAAGAATTCCCTAAGCCTTGTAGAATCTATTTCCATTGGCCCACACTTAGTATGACCACCAGTACAGTAAAATAATTGTAAATAATTATTCTCATAACCTCAAACAGTGATTCACACAAATGAATACAGGTTAAATAAATAAATATTTTTACAATTAGGTCCATCAATATATAAGGGGAACTGTAATGAGATAGTCGTGAGGTAAACACCTCATTTAGAAGATGAGGAAGAGTCTTCATCGTGACGACGAAGAAACATTGAACTTCCCACTGAGGCCCTGGCCTGGGCATTACCGACACATACGGCAGTGTCAACCCCGTAGGTCTGGTGATTGACAATCACGAGTTATCTCAGTGGGATTACTTGGAGGATATGGCACAGAAGCAACGAACCGACTGTGATGTCAGTCACTATCCACATGGACACTCTTTTCCTTATGAGAAACTCACGTAAATCACTTCAGTGCTCGGAGTCTCAGCGTTTCTCCTATAAATCTGGAAGTTAAATTGGAAATTCTCGACTCCTCTTTCAGCAACGCATGGCTCCTCGACAGTCGGGGAGACGGAGGTATCTTGCGTCACCGGCAATGGCCGCCACTAGGGGGCGGATCAGAGCAACTTTGGGACTCCGCCACCAGGAATCCGTCCCCCGGGGCGAACGAACCGTGTGGTCACACCCGTCTTCAGAGCGGTGGTGCGAGGCCGACGCCGAGATGCTGTTGCTTCTGCTGCTCCTGCAGCCCGGTATGAGCCTCGCTCCAGCCGGGGGCTTGGGCGGGGTGCGGGCGTTGGCGAGGCGAAGGGGCGGCCAGGCGTAGCGAATCCTTTGTGCCCGTCAAAGTGAGACGGGTGCTCTCTAGAGGTTTGGAGGGTGAGGTGGGACCCCTGTCAGGGCGGATGGAGATCCCGACCCTGGGGAGACGGCAGCAAGAGTGCACAGAACACCTGGGATTCTCCAGGGGCTGGGAGAAAGGCGAGGGAGTGAGGCTGAGTGTCCCGCCTGGGTCCCGTCTGACCGGGTCCCGCTCCGGCAGGCTCCGGGCTCGGCGCCCTCGTCTCCCAGCACCCACGCAGGGCCGTCTGCAAGAGCGGCGCCTCCGTGAAGATCGAATGCCACGCCGTGGACTTTCAGGCCATAACTGTGTTTTGGTATCGTCAGTTCCCGAAACAGAGCCTCATGCTGTTGGCAACTTCTAATGAAGGCTCCAGTGTCACATACGAACAAGGGGTTCCCAGGGACAAGTTTCCCATCAGCCACACAAACAGCACATTTTCAACCCTGACGGTGACGAGCGCGCGTCCTGAAGACAGCAGCCTCTACGTGTGCAGTGGCAGTGACACAGCGCGGGGAGGAGACCCGAGACCGCGGCAAGAACCTGAGTAGCAGGCTGCCCCTCCCCCGCCCGCCAGGCACAGGGGCCCCAAGGAAGGGGATGTGGGAGACTGAGAAACCACAGCTTTTCTGACTGAGACCCCTGGGGGTGTCTGTGTGTGTACATGGAGAGGGAGAGGAAGAGTGGAGTGTAGAGGAGCTGTCCTGTTTGAGACCTACACGTTGGGAATAGAATGGGGACTATTGGGAGTGGCCAACTGATATGGAAGATTCCCCTGAAAATTATAAAGCCTGGAGTTTTGCCCTGACTCTGCCACACGTGAGTCATGTGTTTGTGGATAAATCTACCCACAATCCTATAGGTAGATCTGAAGACACTTCCGTAAATCGCCGTCTCTTTTGTGATAAACTTTGGCATTTGGCTCTCCACGACTGTTCAGCACTGTCTTGTCACCGTCCAAGGCCTCAAGATAAAGAGAAGCACAGGGCAGCCAAGCAGAGGGAGACAGTCATGAAAGAAGTCAGGGATGTGCTCCACACAGCCCTGGTTGGTGGATGAACAGGCTGCGGCTGGGGCAAAGGCCGGGAGCACCCTCGAGACCCCAGGACAGAGAATTGCGAAGCGTCCATGCAGAGGTGCTGATGAGTTTGCTCCTGAGAAAGTGTCAAGGGGAAGAGAAGGCAGAGGGAACCGTAAGGACGGCCTCAGACAACGCGGCTTGAAGCTGGGAGACAGTAAGTGTAGCAGCGAGGGTTGGCCCTTCAGAAAAATCCTTTCCCAGGAGAAACAAAAAAATTACATTGACAACAAACCTGTAAGACCCCATGGAAAATGAGCAAAATATAGTAACATATATTTAATAGAAGAAACATATATGAACAATAAACATAGAAAGTGATATTTCACTTCACTGATGATTAGGATCATGTGAAGCAAGACATGACGATGCATAATTTTATATCCATTTGATTCACAAAGTATAAAAGTTTAGATGTAAAATGTTAGAGAGGGTATAGATCCACAGGATTACTTGTAAATTCCTGGTGGGAGCATAAGTAATACAAACCACACGGGAACGGTTCAGCATTACCTCTTGTAGTTGAATGTTCCTATATTCTACGACCCAGCAATTCCACCCCTAAGTTTATATCAGGCGAAGCTCTTGCATATGCACATCCGAAGATGTAAATACAAAAGTATTCTTAGCAGCACCATTCACAACAGAAAAACGTGGAACCAAGCCAAATATGCACTGACAAGATGAATGAATAAACTGTGGTCTATTCATAGGATAGATAACTATACACATCAGTCAAAACAAATGAACTACAGTAACAAGCAATGCTATAGGTGAATCTGAGCAATATATAATGAGATAAAATGCAAAAACTAAGCCTGATAAGATTATGTAAAGCATAATATGCTTTTTATAAAGCTAAAAACAGCTAAATCAAGAAAACAATTTTCGGGACTACAAATATATAAAATTATATTAAAAGGAAAGCAAGGAACGATTGTGTACTGGAGCTGGCTTTTACCAGGTCATGAGAGCCAATTGTGCATATCTTTCCCAACTCAAATTTCAGTGACATCATTTTGATAGCTTTACATAGGCCATAGCGGGAGTATTTACACCGTGGGAATCAGCAAACACAACAAATCAGGGCTGTCTCATTTTCTTCCAACAAGCTAATTGTCAAACATTTACCAACACACAGGGGAATGGCAGGGAATGATAGTGACCCAAGTTCAGGATTTTTATAAAGCTGGGGAGTGGCAAGAGATGGAATGAGAGAAAAATCACATAGCCATAAATTTAAATATCATCAAGGTCTATCTCGCATATTGTTGAGGGAGAGATGTTCCACAAGTACCTACTATATTTTTAAATAAACAAGTAACCGTTTATTGACAAGCAATGCCTGTGTGTTATGAACCACAGGTTAAGATTAACCAAATATTATGCATATTAAATCAAAAGGGAGAAAAATATGAAACAAATAGATTGGATTAGAATTCTTGAAAGAGAAGGATGGAGAGCATTGCGTAGTGAGAACCAGGGAGTGAAAAAGCAGTGGCTCAACCCCTACCGTCCTTGTGTAGGAATCCATCACTGAATCATTCACAGTGGACAATCTACCAACCAATGGACCTGGACCCTGGTAAATCCCTTTGCAACAGAGAGCAGGGGGCTGAGATGCCAAGTGTGGAAGCGAAGGCATGGAGATGAGACCTTGGCCCTGGCCCACGTGGAGCTGAGCAGAACAAGATGGGAGCCAATTCAGCAATGGACGTGCTGCCATGTTATATCTCCATGGTGGCCATGTCCCTGAGTTATTGCTGATTAAATGCACCCCCTGGGTTCAGTCACTTCACACTGTGTCATTGCCACTGAATCCAGGGACCCATTTTAGTTGTAGCTTCCTGCTCTGTCCGTGTTTTCAGCCTGGAGAAGAGAGCTAATGAAATACTTTTTAAACATTCCACTGCTTCCTTCACCAACAGCATGGAAAAGATAAGAGCGTTTAAGGCTCTAGCATGAAACAGAGAGAGAAAGTGGTATCATTCCTATCTGATGTAGTCATTTATTTCACTCTGTATTAAGCTTAACATCACTTAGCATGGATGGGTGCTGTGTCCAGATCTGCCTTTCCCAATCCAGATGCCTGTTAGAGACACAGCCTTCTATCTACATACGTTACCTTAGGGAAATAGGGGAATAGCTTTGGATAGCATTGACTATAATTCAGTCCAAATTTGTGTTCTGTCCTCCTGGGACAAGGACCATCAAAATAAAATAAAATCCTATAACATTTCCTGTAAATTTTTGATGACATAAATTTTTGATGAATGATTTTCTTAAGTGTAACATTTTCCTTCTGTGCTCTGGTCCTATATTTTACTCTCTGGGTTATGTTCTATTTGAAACCAAGTTCACCACTGAAAGGCAATGATGGGTAAGGAAAGATATAGAGTCTGACCTCCCCCTTCCCAAGACATACATACACACATTCTCTCTCTCTCTCTCTCTTTCTCTCTCTCTCAATGGAGGCTCCGTGTTCCCCAGAAGTGGAGATGCTGTGGGGACAGTTTCAGAGGTTTGCAGGAGCCAGAGTCCTTTAAATCCTCAGAATGTCCCCATTCTAAGTGTCCGTTTCTTACTCAATTCCCCACCTTACACACAAAAGATTTGCAAGTTTTGGGTCAACTGGCATTGTAACTCAATATCCCACAAAAATAATTTCTGGAACTGGTTTAGAGGAGTCTCAGCCCAATTTCTACAGAACATACAAGATCTCAGGTGTCTGAAGGTGATCATTTGATTAGCTACTTCACGACTTCATACCACTGCTGTTGTTTTCCACTTTGGAATATGGTAAACAGTGTGACTACTTTTGACTGACCCATAGTCAATTTAAAATACCCATATGTATTTGAGTGTCTTTTATCTGTAATCTACTCTCCAGTACAATTTTTAAAAATCAGTTAAGATTCTTTTGTTTTATCTGACAAAAATGGACTATAGATAATTTACTGGTGGTGATTCTTGATAAAATACTCCCTTGAGAGTTTGAAGCCCCTGATATAATATAATTCATGGTTATTCACCTTTCAAGAAAAGTTATAAGGAAAAGAATTTAAATATTATTCCTAAATACTTTACATCAAGACGAGCTGGCGTTAATTAAGTAGAACGGGGAATAATGAACTCAAGGGCATTTAAGAAAAATGAAAGAACCAGTGAAAAATTTTTCAATCAGGGAAGAAATTGCCATGTTCAATTAATGGAAAGAAGTTAGCAATGTGCCAAGAGCAGAATGAGGAGGGGGCTGAGTATAAGGTGAGATTGGAGAGTGGTAGGAAGACATCAAACCATCTATGACCTTGCAAATCAAGATAAGTAATATGGAATTTAACATAAAGTTTAATAGGAGCCATTGAGGTTTTAAGCATTTGACTCCTGTAGGAATCAGAGTAGTGTGTGTGTGTGTGTGTGCGCGTGTGTCTGTGTGTGTGTGTGTGTGTAACCACCCTAACCACCATGTGAAGAAATGGCAAACCATTCAAAGGAGACACAATTTTACCTCTATCCTCTTAGGGTTTTCTTCTGGGCCTGAGTACTGAATAGATTATCATGAGAAAAGCATATGAATTTACTTAATATAAGTTTTACATGACATGGGAGCACCCTCATAAGGAAATGAAGACCCAAAGATGCAGCTGGAGTTGAACACGTATATAATGACTTGGACAATGAGTAGTAAAATGTGAAAATGAGACAAGGCAAAGGGGCTTGGACTAGGTCATTAATTGGGTGGAGAAGTGGCCAGGAAGGTGAGGGCTAATTTAACAAGGTTTATTTGTAGAGATTTCCCTCGGCCTTAACATCCCATCTTGTATGAAAAGAATGTTATTAATACTTTCCTTCTGGTCCGGAGAGGACATCTTCCCTGTAAGGGGTTTATCTTCTGCCTTTCAGGAAGAAAAAGGGTAGGAGGGTCAGAGCACCCTCCTTGTACCTGCTGCAGATTTTTTTAAGTGCCTTTAGCTCAAAGTTATCCTTATGCCTAAGTGGCATATTTTGGAGTGACGTATTTTGCGCCCCTTCAGCAGCATGGAGAGAGTTGGTGCATATGAAAAAGCCCTGCAGCAACTCAGACAAGCGATGGTGTAGCTCAGATAATGATGGTGGCCACAAAAATAAGGTAAACCAGGAATTTAAAAGGTGTTTAGGAAGGAAATCAAAGGACTTGGCAATTGATTAGCTATGAGCAACAGCTGACGGGGGTAAAAGACAACCACTGCAGCCAGATGGATGAGGACCACGTGGGAAGAAGATAATGATGTACACTGAGATTGGCGGCGCCTTTGAGACAGAAATCCTGCCGGAAAGATGCAGAAAGCAGTTGGATGTACAAGTCACGGACTTGGAAAATGGCTCTGGATAAGAGGTAAACATTTGGGAAATTTAGCATAACCGGAAGAATGAAAGTGCGTACCATCCCTGGATGATGAAATATATAATGAAAAGAGCATAGAACTTAGGATA